CATTTCTATAAATCCTTTGTTTTTATTGGTCTTCAGTAATATTCTAATTTTCTGATATGATGAATTTGAGATTTTCATTTGTTGTCATTTGTAATCATCAAAATTAAACAAAATAAACATCTGAAATATATGAGTTTGTATGTAATGTATGAATATAATATACAAGTTTCACTTTTTAAATGGAATTACTGAAATCAATCTACTTTTTCATGATATTCTAATTTTATGACCAGCACCTGTAAGTTTGCGCAGTTTTTACACAAACATTTATTTTTCATATTGCACCAGTACAGTTAATGAGCAACCTGTACTTGTGTGCTTGTTTGTTCTGTCTAAAATGTTTATTTTGGAATAAAGAGGTTAATATAAAAACATTTTTTTGTCCGATTCATCGATTAATCGAAAAAATAATCGGCCGATTCATCGATTTTTAAAATAATCGTTAGTTGCAGCCCTAATGAACATTGTGCACGCTCTCAATTGACTGACTTTTGAAGAAAAAAATAATAATTAAACCTTATTTGTGGTTTGAGTGGATATGTTTGTTCAAAATTTGTACGTTTTGTCTTGGCAGCCAGTTTCTGAACAAACTAGACATACTGATTTTGCGCCGCCAATAGGAGAAATAAACAGAAACGCCACGCCATTTTTCCCTTTCCTACTTGTGTCCGTTCCTCCTCTCCTTCTCAGTCTCCACGATCTGCTGTATCCATCCTTTCCTCTATCTCGTATGTTTCTCTCTCCATCTAGGCAATCAGTTTTCTCTTTTCTTCCCTGTGCAGAGGCCAGATGGCTTGGTGGTATTACGTGGTATAGCTAAACTTGCATGCAATTGGTCTGTAGGTTTCCTGGGACGCGTGACCACTACAGTAAAAGCTGTGTCGGTAAACCAGAAAGTGCTCAACAAGATTTTAGGTTATTGTTTCTGTTTCGGTATGTCTCGGGTCCACATGAGATATCACTTCGGTCCGGATCGGGGTCTGCCTATTAATGACCCCTGCTGTATTGTAATCATATCTTGTTGGCGAGGAGTTTTAGCAACAACCCAAAAACAGCTCTGTCCATGTGGACCAGCTCTGTGTTAAATGTTTTACTGTCTCAGAAGACAAAGACAGAACTAAGAGGCATGGGTGAGGAAGACCGGCTGAATCTTTCAAATAGAAAACATTAACAACTGTCCAGCATGGTGGTGGCAGAATCATGCTGCTGGGTTATTTAAATGAAGGCGACATTTGTGCTTTAATGAAAACCAATCTAGATAGAAAGTTCTTTATCAGGCCTCCAATCCACAGCCACCAGCAGGTTTTTTTCCTTCAGTAGGACAATCCAAAAAATATTTCCAAACTGGTCCTGGTATAAATAAATTTTGCTTACGTTAATCTTCTGGAAAAGCCTTCTTAATGTCTGAAAATTCTATTTTTAAAACTTATAGGCTGGTCAGAAACCCAAGTAATTAAAATAACTCCACCCAATCTGACTGGATGGGTCAGATACAGCAAGGAGCCACTTTCTACGCAGATTTTTGTTCTTATATCAACAGATAAGAGGGAGTTCACTGATAGGTTTGGGGTAAACTACATTTTTTAAATTCAAACGCTTGTACTTTGCATGTCTTCGTTTTTGTTGCACTCTTTGTGAGATGAATTGTAGAAATGAAGGCGGTATGATAACCAAGAGGGTGAAAAGGATGCATTTTAACATCAGAGTGTCTTCTGTCACGTTGCGTGTGTGTGAGTTACAATATCAAATGCAGCAGCGGATGCAAAAAAAAATAAAAATAAAAAAAAAAGAAAGGAAATCCCTGCTGACATTCCTTGGTTCTTCTTAGACTTAAAGCTTTTAATCCGTTGTCTGGTAACACGACTTTTGTTTTGTTCTTTCCTGATAAAAACTTCAGTCTCGGGGCCCAGCAGCAGGATGTTGATGACTTCTGAAGAGTTTTCCCTGAGCTCAGTGAGAAGATGAACTCTGAACTTTACCCTGAAGCAAACTAACAAACTCACTCTTCTACCAGAAGGGGATCTGTTTCTTCTTTATCAGACTTTTGTTTCCTTTTTTAAAGATTTATACAGTAGCCCCCACAGCAGCTGCCAGGAGGCGAGACAGTTTGTTTACTCAAAGATGAGGTAAATAAGAGCCTGTTCCTGAATCTGTCAGGCTGTGAGGAAATAAATAAAATAAAAAAATCACTGAGACTACGTGTGAGTTTAATCTCATCTTCTGACAGCCCAAGTATGGATCCGTCGGCAGCTGAAACTTTAGAAAATCCCGGCATAAGAGAAGGCGAACCAGCAAGCAACCCGCCGTGCTGTAATAAGCTTCCCCCCAGATCAGGACGATGTCTGCTTCCAGAGCTGCCTTTCATCCTCGGCGGGGGCCTTAGGCTGCCGAAGAGGAAGCCGTCTCATGTTTGACTTCATATTTCTAGAATCTAACACAAACTTTCTGACTGTTCAAAGTGTCAAACTTTTATTTCCACCCTCTTTCACACAGATGAAGCCGGAGCGGCGGGAGGCACGGCGGCGAGAAGCAGGGCTGTGAAAATACCACTGGTGATTGAGCCGGCAAACGCAGCCTGAAAAGCTATCAGGAGATCTTCAGGAAAATGACAAGAGAAAAGAGAGTCCTGAAGGGGGAGAGAAGTAATATCTGGCAATGTGTGGGGGCAAGAAGATGAGAATAAAAGGCTTTATTCCAGTTTGATTTGAGCGATTTCTCACCAGGGGAGGGAGTCCATTTGATGTGAGCAGAAAAAGGGGCCTTGAAACTCTGCAGAGTGATCTGTCAACCAGAGCATTACAGGATCCATCAGAGGAGGAGCAGAGCAGGCAAACGAAATGAGGAAACCCTGAGCCTAAAACCTTCCTTTCAACATACAACTGGCTGATATCAATGCACATGAAGACACCAAGATGAATTTGAGAGCACTGGACGAACAGATAGGAGCTCAAACGCAGCCAACTGGAAGGGGAAACGGTGCCACCTATTGGAGAAACGTTCACACTTCACTTTTTCTTTTAAACTTGCAACATAAAACAAACCTGAGTCTCAGTCATTTCAGCTTTACAGCGACTTTTCATGCTTTTTACTTTTTATTCTAAACTTACAAAATCTGAATGTTACAAGATCCAATGTAATACATTTGTCTTTCTTGTTGTTGTTAATCTGTTGTGTTTCTTCATAGACATTGCTTATTTACAAATATGGGCCAGTCCCCTTCTCATTCTAATACAATCAATTATGTTTGGTGATTTTTTCTGTGCGTTTTCACTTTGACAAAAACTTTGTAAGAAGGATCATGTGCAACTTTTTGTAGAGAGCTGAAAGAATAAACTATGACAGCAGAGGTCAAAGAGCAGCTGACAGAACGTGCCACCCGTCGACCAAGCAGCAAAACGAAACATGCTTGGTGGGATGAAACTAACCCTTAATACGTCTGAAAAACAGCTGCCTCCCTGCAAAGATACACCTATGAACATTTATTAGTATTCCCATAGCTGTCAGATGGATATGGCAAAAGATTTCATTCTGCAACATTAAACTAGAGCAACACCAGAGGCTTGAATTCCGGGATTTAGAAACAAAAAGACAAAAAACAAAAAAAATCATAATGGCCCAATTTACAACCAATAATAAAATGACTTGTTTAAACACACTGACTTCAAACACAGATGCTCAAAAGAGAAGAGCGGTGTGGAAAAGTCCAAGAACTCCCAGAATAGTACTGGTGCTGACTTATTAGCCTCTGGAATCAGGAAGTTCATCTGAAAATGACACCAAACTCGACTGAACCAGCAGGATATACTGAATGTTGGACTAAAGCAGACTCTAGCAGACTATGCAGACTACTCTAAGTAATAACTTTCAGTGCATTTCTTTTATGTAGAGCTAGACAGCGTAACATCAGTGCGTGCAGTACTACAGGAAATATTGGACACAATATTTGGTTGGATGGTGAGTACTTTGGGCTGTGCTGATATTGTTAACACATTGTTTTGCTGATATTGTATGCCTTTAGCTGCACAGTGAGGCAACCTTCTTACTGCCGCCTTGCAGTAATAAGGTTCAGGGTTCGATGAGGTCTTTCTGCATGGAGTTTTCATGTTCTCCCTGAGCTTACGTGGGTTCTCTCCGGGTACTCCGGCTTCCTCCCACAGTCCAAAAACATGACTGTTAGGTTAATTGGCTTCTTTAAATTCTCCTTAGGTGTGAGTGTGTGCCTGAATGGTTGTTTATTGTGTTTGTCTCAGTGTTGCCCTGCAATAACTGGCGACCTGTCCAGGGTGTTACCCAACTCTCACCCATTGAAAGCTGGAGATAAGCACCAGTAACCCTCACAACCTCAGCAGGGATAAGCGTGACTGAAAATGAATGGATGGATGAATGCCTCTAATTCTATGTATGGCAGAGATTTCACTGTGTATGAGACATTAACACAAAAATTGAGTTTTGTTTTTTCCGCTTTAATTTGCAGATATCGTTTACTTCAAATGTATGGCAGCCACTTTAGATTTTAGAATTCAGGGTTCATAGAGTTTCTAACCTTACAAACCATTTGTCCTGGAAAACTCACCTTCAAAGTAATACACCTAATAATACAATAACAAACCCAATAGTACCTAGTAATACACCAACAATTAAGCCGCATCAATCAACCAATAAAACGGAAATAATGTATAAGACTATTCCTTTTACTCTTGTTTAAAAGAAAAACAAAATTGAATTATGTGAGACTCTGAGGATCACTAAGAAGAGTTATCTCAGATCATTCTTCCTTATAGCTGTTAGACTTTATAACTATATTTTTCCTGAATAACTTAAAATCCATAAGTGATTTTCTTGCTTTTATTTCCAGTTGTTATTTGCTGATGTACAAATATAAATGAAAAGTTCTAAGCTGCACATTTCTTTGAATTCCAGTAACTTCTTTTCTTATGATGTAAAGAAGCCCTCATTATAGTCCCTTATATCTTCCAGCATCATTATTCACCAGGCTGGTATTCTGGATGCTTCCATCAGCCTGTTTCTACTGCTGCTGCATCTACATGAAAAAATAAAAATCCTTTAAGTGAAGCAAACCAATGCTGCACAGGCACCCATGTTTACCTCGACATTGTTTAAAGGAAGGAGAAAATGATTCTCCAACAGAGCAATTCTTTCTAAAGCATGTTAAAGCATGTCAAGGTAACGTGCCCGAACAACAACAAGAAGTCCTCACCAGTTATTATCTAACCACAGGAACATGAGACCAGCAGCAGAAATGAGACAAAGGTTTTTACCGAGCATGTTGAAGATAAAGTCCTTGGCAGTGTGGACCTCTAAGGCCGTCTGGTCTCCAAACTCTCCCTGCTCCAGCAGCACCAGCTCTGACACCTGCGCTGACAGCTGCTCCAGGGTGGCCCCTGAGCGGAAGTCCACCTCGGACAGCTTCTTGACGGGGGCCGGCGAGCGCGGCGTCACCGCGTTCATTAGCGACTCCATCTCTGCAACCCTGCGGAGAGAAAAAAGGAAGATATCTGAGAAACGCTCAGAGATGTTTACAAACTATTCTGTTCAGATTAACAGTCATTGACTAAAAAAAACTCCTCTAATCCTAAAGTTACAAAGGTTTTTTTTTCACAATTACATTTATCAAACTGTGAAGTAATCTAGGGCTGACACTTAGAGCAGCAATTATATAAAAATTGTAAAAATATACAGAAACATTTTGGATTTAAGATTAAAAAAAGCATTTCTTCTGTCAATATGCTCTATCAGAACTCCCCAATTGGAAAAGATTTAGTTTAACCCGATTTAATTTAGTAAAAAATCTTTAAGGAACCTTTGGCTACCTGATTATTGAACGGAAAAAATAATAAACAGATTAAATGATTTGCTAAATAATCATTAGTTGGAGACCCAATTTAATCCCAACATTCTTGACCTCTAATCATAAAATTAGAGAAACTAAAATTTGCTCTTTTTAACAAAGTGGTATCTGCAATCTATCTCACTAAAGATCCAACAACATTTAAGTTAGACTGGTCTGGACTCTGGTGAAACACAGGTTCTCAGCAATAAACCATTCTACTGAATAGATCTCAATTAATGACAAGATTATAGCTTTTTATGATTATCTTAAAAATTCACGTAAGTACATAGCTAAAACAACAAACAAAACCAAAAACAGGTGGACCTGAAGGAGGGAGTACTAAATGGGAAAATAGCTAAATTAGCCAAAGATAATGGGAAAGACCCTTTACTTTGTTTTTCACCATCTAGAGCAACCCTTATTTTCCTTATCAATAAAACTTGTTTCCAGCTGCAAAACATGCATAACCCTCCAAAATAAACATGGCTCATCATTTTCTATAAACATTTAATCTAGATCGCTTTTTATGTTTAATCCAAAATAACCTATTTTACTTATGTTCTTAAAGTAGAATGGAATCAAAGCTTTAGAACGAAAAAATATATGTGGCAATTTTAGATTTATATAAAAATGTGTTTAAATGCTTAACAATGTTCAAAATTAAAAACACGGTTTAGTTTAGTTACGAAGAGCCAGTAAACTGGAGCATATTTATTTTTCCAATCTAGATTATATTGTTCTAGAATTATAATTTGCTCAAAAACAGCCTTCCTAGTGTGACCCATGCAGCTGTATTTTAGGTGTAGAATTATTTTTTTACTGGAAACCTTTCAAAACAAACCACCCTCTTTCAATACTACTAATAACTGCCATTATCCTGACAGTCTGAGATGAATACATGCTGCTTTATTCAAATTAAACTACATCCCAAAAAATATATTCATTAAAATGACAAGTATGATTTGTCACCAAAGACTGACGGTACATTTAAAGTGGAAAGACAAAGTGCATTTATCTATTTTGCTTGGTAGCAGGAAGTGACAAGGTAAGAAAAGGCTCGGAGCAAATAATACAAATTCATAACTTACAGATAGAGGTGAAAGAAATGGAGCAGCGTTTATTTTTGACCCAAACAAAGCCTTGGCATTAGTGGAAGAGACAGATGCACATAAAGAAAAAACTGGGAACATTAGGACACACATCTTAAAGATGGAAAAGTCTTCCTTTTTTTTTAGGTTAGCATTAGCAGCAGAAATTTCAATTATTCTTAAATGTAGAGTTGGCCTTTTTCCACTTAACCCCACAATAAACAGGTGCTGATCTTTCCTCATGTCTTTACCAGCTTGTTAGGGATCCGTTTTCCACAGACTTTAATCTTTTTGAGTAAATAAGAACAAGTAGGAGGTCAACTCGATTTAGTTTGAGTAAAGGTCATAATCTTTCATTATTCTTACAAGTCAATGCACCCAATCACAGATTAAAACTGAAATGAGTCCAATAAATATACAATTAAATGACTTCTTTAAAACACTTAAATACTGAGAGATATAAATTAATAAACTGCGGTTAAATGCATATTGCCAAATGTTAACTAAAGGCTTTTATTGCACCACCTTTGAAACTGTTAAAGAGCTTGTTTGTTTCATGTTATCTTGATCTATATAAATAGCTTTCATGCTCTTGCGTATAAATGGTGGATTTGTTCTATGCAGTTCAGAGTGAATCATAAGACTCTGGGGGTGCTGGTGCAAAAACATGCAGCATGATACGCTGAAACATATGAAAGATCAACTTAGAAACAAGAAAAGTTCTGCAGTGACAAGCTACAACAACATCAAGCATTAAAACCAAAAATATACTGATATACAAGCATAATCTACTTTTAAAGCTGATAATTTGGTTGGATGTAGCTGTCCAGGTTATAGCAGCCATGGTTTGGTTTGACTGTAATGGTTACAGTTGGATTTTAACAATACTCTTTAAATATGTTGTAAGCCTTTCAACCTTACTAATGACACTTCACTGTCACCATTAGTAAATCTGTAAAATATATACAAGTTTGAGATAACGGTGCAGGTTAATTCTGATTTTGTAACATTTATAGACTCTGAGCTGGGAGGCATTGTATGACATAAAAGGGCAGAGCACTTAAAAAGTTTCAAGGCAATATTTGTACAAAACTGTGTAAATCAATCTGTTCTGATTTAGTCTGTATGCCTAAATGTAAATGGAGAAATTATTATGAAAATAATCTTGCATTTCCTATAAGCAGTCAGTGATTTGCATCACAATCCTGCAGGTATCACATTTGTTGGTGAAAAATTTTCAGCCACTTTCTTCTGTTCCCTGTCTTCCATTACCAGAAGAACTGATTAATCCAGGTGTGTCTGGATGATTCATGCAGGTGTGTGTGGCCATGGTTACTGAGGTCAGGCACACCTGGATTAATCAGTCCATCCACTAATCAAAGAAGAGAAATAAAGGAGCTGCCTTAAGTTCAGGAAGAAGTGGAGTTATTCATAGAACCCATAAACTTTCTGAATTAAAGTAAACTTCAAAGATATGGTTAAGTAAAGCACACTGCTGCAGCCTTTTTTATGAGACATTAAAAGGAAGCAGTCTTCCCTATGATTGTAAAAAGAGGATTGTAACACTTAATATGTACTTTATATCTACTTTATATCCATGGTTTTGAATTAAAGTTATAAGAAATTAACTAAGAATTAGTTTCAGCTGTGCATTATCTTGGCATCATTTTAAAATAATGTTTCACATTTTAATTGGCTGTATAACGATCGAAATTTAAAATGTGGCTTTACTAAAACCTTTTATTAACGTTAACCTTACAATCTTTAACCCAACAATAAAAGAAAATGCATTTTATTTCTAATCTACATGACGTTATTAAGATAGTTTGTTGCCATCACTATGGAAACATGGAATTCTGTCTCCACAGAAGACGAGCGCGTGAGGTGAAGGCTGATGGAGTTAACGGATTAAATTTACCGACAGCCAAAAAGGGGCAACATATTGGACAAAGCAGAACGAAACTTTTACATAAATGTTCCCCATTGAGAAACAAAACACCGGCTGCTTAGAAGCGGGACACTTAACAAAACTGTAGCGAAATAAACCGGGAAAAAGTTGTAAACAAAGTCTTGTCGTGTTGGAACGCCATCATGGCCTCTGCCCCTTTAAACTGGGTCAATTAGCGAGCCAGCTAAGCTAATAGCCAAACAAATTAGCCTGTGTGCTGTCAAATAGTTATTTTTTCTGCACACTGATTAAAAAATAAATAATACATTTGTTTTCACTACAGTGTTTGAGTGTGTTAAATTATCTCCGTATCACATAAATGGTCGTGTTTACAATCAGTTTGTACCGGTGCGGTAACCAGAAATGGCTAATTTAGGTTATTAGCCAACTAGCTCTGTTAAATTAGCCCTCCAGCCAACATGTCTGATTTGTGCCAACATCCACGCAAGCAAACACATCCACGGCCGCACACAGCCGCGTCTACACACACATGCACAGCTTGGTTAGCTTTAAACACGCGGATATCCAGGAGAAATGGTTAGCTGTGAGGCTAAAAGCTAGCCCCCCCGCTCCGTCATACACAAACACACCCTTTTAAAAACGGCGAAGTGCTGCACTTTCTTCGCTATCTCCTGCCTCTGCTGCTTCTCTGGTCCCCGAGCTCCAGTCCACCCTCCTCAGCTGTCATTTCCAACAGGATCCAAGCGCCGCCACCGCCACCACCACCTTTCCCCTGGCAACACCGCCCTACAAATCACGGTCCTACTCAAAGGATCCAGGGATTAGCGGTATAGGTGGTGGAGTGGCGTGGAGTGGAGTGGACGCCCCACGCTGAGGGGAATAAATACACAGACTGGTTTATGGGGTCAGAGTTATGATTGAAAGCGGATCTGCGTCCCCAAGCAGATCAAATGTAGTCATGTTTAGGAGGAGGAGGGACAGGAGTGTTTGGGCTGCAAAGCAGAGAGGGATTCCTGATTTGGATATGAGCAGGGGTGGAGCTAGATGGGGGGCCAGAGGTGGCCATGGCCACCCTTAAGGACTGGCAGCAGTGTGTTGCAGTGAGCTTGATGCAGACATTTTTGATTTATGCTCAATTTTGAAGCGTGGTCTGCGCTATACGCTGTTAGTCTGGATACGGCTGAGGCGGTGTGGAAGTCGGTGGAGAGTTTGTGCGACAACGGAGGGATATGAGGGCGAAAAATAGCCGGAATCCAGGTGGAAAAAGGGTCCCAGCTGGTCCAACTTCACAAGTTTTTTTCTGCAATTGCGGGCATAAAAACAAAACAAGCCGGCCTCCTGTCTGCAGTCACCTACAATTTGGGAGAGGTGCAGCTGGATGTCTGCGAAGGGGGCGGGGACCTCTTTTTGTTCACCTATCCAGACGACCTAGTTTCGAAGTATATTTAAGCCTTTAGCCAATCATTGGCAACCCCAATGGCCACCCCTAGCATTTTTTTCGCCCTCTAATACAGATTTGGAGGTGGGCGATACCGGGTATTTTTAATCGATACGATACCAAGTAAATACAGGGTCAGTATCACCGATATAATACCAATACTTTTTAACATTTAGGCTTTATGTATTTATTGGGGCAATGATCGAAGTTTCGTCTCCTCTCTCTGTTTCTGTAGCTCGACATTTTCTTGCTCGTTTTGGTTTTTCATGTGCTTATATAAACTTGTTTTTACACTGCATTTAATCGGCTTTTTACAAACCATACAGCTTGTTTCATTTACATTATTAAAATATAGTCAAACGCAGATTCTTTCCCTCCTCATGTTTTTCTGCTCTGCTGCGGAGCAGCAGTGCAGTTGTGTCGAGCGGAGAGAGAGCTGAGTGGGCGAGGCCAGACTGAGCCTGCGTGATGAGCGATGAAAACACAGGCGGGCAGACTGGTCAGTCTGCTGCAGTAAGTGCGTGCAGGAGAGAAGAAAAAGTATCGATGTTATTTAACCAATATTATTCGAAATCAATACCAAAGTTGATATCGATAGTATCGATCCTAAGATCGATCCGCCCACCTCTAATACAGACGGTGGCAGCAGTAATACTATCAAGAGCAATGTTTAAACTTGATAAACATTTTAATTTTTCATATAATAATAGTGACTTGACAACTAAAACACTTTGGTTAATTATGCACATCAAAATACTAACATTAAAGTTGATATTTACAAAATTCATTCTCCTTTAAGACCCTAATTTTGTGTTTTTTTGACTAAAGACAAAATTATGTCTCTGCAAGTCATCAAGGAGTTTTCAGTGAAATCATAGATAAATAACAACTTTAATAATAACTTAAAAATCCATTAAATGTTGATATTAGTAAATGTAATATTGATGTAATGCAGAATAATTTTTAATAAAAGTAGGTAAATAATGACAATGTAAAGATGTTTGCCCCAGACATTTTGTCCACTATACCTTTTATTTAGACAGCATGGATGTTTAAATATATGCATCTATTTGTAATCAAAAGGCTTTAGGAAAGTATAGTTTGTCTTTATTTAGAAAATATGGATGTTGTGCTCGTTCCTGTTGGAACAGTGTAGATGGACCCTCAGGTTCTGGCGCCTATCCGCTTTCTGCCACCCCTCAGTTTACATTGGTTTTTGACCGGCCACCCCTATTAAAGTCTTCTTGCTACGCCTCTGGATATGAGAACTGATTCCAGTATATAATTTCTGTGTGTTTAAAATAACAGAGTAAATACAGCTTTATGCACAAGCGATTGTCAAGCCTACTCATAAAAATAAATCCTATTATGTTTGTACTGCTGGAATTAGTGGAATCCATGACCAGGCGCTTTGATGAATGTGTGGGATTAATCTGGGAGCAGATGAGGACACTGGTTTAGGCTGTTGTTTAATCCATATGTTAGCTCACAAAGTTTTTTTTTTATTTCTAAACCCAATTTTGGGCAGTCGTGGGTGAGCGGTTAGGGTGTCAGACTTGGATCCCAAAGGTTACCGGTTCGACTCCTGACCCGCCAGGTTGGTGGAGGGAGTAATTAACCAGCGCTCTCCCCCATCCTCCTCCATGACTGAGGTACCCTGAGCATGGTACCGTCCCGCCACACTGCTCCCTTGGGGCGCCATTGAGGGCTGCCCCCTTGCACAGGTGAGGCATAAATGCAATTTCATGGTGTGCAGTGTTCACTTGTGTGTGCTGTGTCACAATGACAATGGGAGTTGGAGGAGTTTCCCAAAGGGCTTTCACTTTCACTTTCACAATTTAATATTCAAAGCAGAAATATTGGCCTATTTGCTGATTATAAATGCAACACATTATAAAGCTCTTATTCATAGAAACAGGAAAAAAATCTTTTATAAGATTTATATGCTAATCAATTCTGTAGGTGGTGTTACTAGATCAGAAACTGTACATTTGTGGGTAATGGAAGTATATTAAAGAAATGTTATTCTATTTATTTGTATCATCCCCAAATCACAGCAAAGGCAAATCATTTCAAAAACACTATTAATCTCTAGCAGGCATTACATTTTGCTGTAATTCATTCTCTGCCAGTGGAGGAGTTAAAGGTATGGTGGAGTATGTTCTTTTTCCGGGGGGATCATCAAAATAAGTGGTCCTCCTGATTGTCAATCATCCTGGTGATATATTTACATAAGGCCGTCCTACATGCTCGTCCCCATTATCACTTATCGGTGGTGAGTCTGACATAGCGGAAAAATCGCAAATCTTGTTTTGGAAAGTAAGCTTGCATGAGTGATGTAAACAGCAACTTGTAAACAGAGCAAGCACGAGGGGAAATGGGCTTGTGCACGCTCTCATATGCGTTCAATAAGCATTCCCTCTCGGGAGCAGGTACAGGGTTGTGAATGAGCATTTTTTTGAAAGTGGAGAGGGTGGTTCTTTTTAAAAAATTTTCGCAAAAATCCTCCATTATACCTTTAAGTACTGTTTTGTGTATCTTTACTTTGCTTGTGTAATTTTTAAGGGCGTTACTTACTTAACTTTCACTCCACTGAATTTTAAAGTTAATTATTGTACTTTCTACTCCATTCCATTTCTAGGAAGCTGCTGGTTACTTTTCCTTTTGGCTCAGCTTAGCTTTGTAATCCAATGTTGCTGTTTTTCTTTTTCAAAATGCAATTTCAACATGGTAGATGGCAGTTCTTAGGACTGAAAACTAAGGGCGGATATTATTTGTAGTTTTAAATTTTAACAACGTTTTAGTTGTTGCCTTGTGGCCAAGGTTTCAGTAAGATGAGTTAACCAATCCGAGTTGTGATTACTTTGTTGTAATAGATTCAACCTTAAATCTCTATTCCATGGTGAAATTATGAGAAGAATCAAGACTCTCTTGTTTCTTGTTGGTTTGTTTCTAAATAAGGAATAATTATCTAAATAGCTGCCCTCATATTTTTGTGGCATTTTTATGCTGAAGTTCTTTACAGATGGTGTAGAATTTGTTGTACATGGTTCGACACATCAAAACATCAGGTAGTTTCGGAAAGATAGTTTTTTTTATTATTATTATTACTCTGAAAATACACAAATATACTGACGTTAGAAAATTTATTTTGTATTTTTGAATACTTAAGTATTTTTAAATGTATGTACTTTTGAATACTTTAGCACTTCAAAAAGGGAGTACTTCAATACTATAACTTGAGTAGACGTTGGACCTAGTACCTTTTTCTTGTAGTTGAGTAAGATTTGACTATGAGTATCAATACTTTTACTCAAGTACTACTGTTGAGTTCTAAGTCCACGCACTTCCTCAGCAGTGGCGTGCATAGGGACCTCGCCCCTTGTGGACCAATTGATGAAAAGATGTCACAATGCTTGCTAAAGCACGTGTTACAGTGCCCCTTGGGAGTAAATTGTGCATTAAAGTGCCCCTTAAGAGCCAAAATGCCTGATAATGTGCCCCTTTTGGAGCCAAAAGGGTTGCTAAAGCGCCCCCTTGGGAACCAGGATGCATGCTCAACTTCACCCCTGGGAGCCAAAACACGTGCTAAAGTTCCCTTTACAGAGGCAGGGATGTGCTACAGTATATGGGCCCTTTTTATCTTTACTCCCTGCCCTTCAAAAAGTCTGTGCAAGCTGCTGTTTCTCAGGAAGCACCGTCTGCTCTGTCCCATCTTGTAGGTTACACTGATGAGCCTGTTGTCCAGGTAAACACCAAAGTATGTGCTGTATACTCCTCCACTGCCTCATTTTATTCTCTCATGATAGAAACAGTTTTTGACCTACTCCTGTTTCCCCTCAAAATCTTCAATCACCTCCTTTGTTTTGTTCACATTCAAGATAAAATGATTGTTTCCGCACCATGACACAAAGCTTTCTCCCAGTTCCCTGCGCTCAGCTTCTTGACAAGGCACTTAACATACAGTGGCTTGTAAAAGATCTCAGGTTTGATTCGGGATGCTGCATTTGCCTGTCAATCTCAATTTGAGAAGTGCATATGTGTGCAGGTAATGCTAGACTCTTCTATAAACACAGAATCTGCTTCCTTTGCCAGGTGCATGTATAAATATTGGATTGTACAATGCTGACAGTGTGTCTTCCTTTACATTACTACAGTGATGCAATAATACAATAAGAAAAAACATCTGTCACAGGCTACAGATAAGATAGCTCATATATACATACTATAAACAGAACTGGAAGGTTAAAAGTAGTAGTAAAATGAGCAGAGGGCCAACGATGCAAAGGTAAACAATAAGACATTGAATAGATTTAAACAGGAGCTGAATAGATTTAGTTTTTTGATAATTGCAGTGATGTTTTTTCTAACACAGTGAGTCATAGTAAGCTGTTCATTAGAGCATTGGCTCATGGGAAAAAAGTTAAAGAAAATAAACTTGCCTTCTCATTCAAAGAGTTTTCTTTACTTTCATGACTATAAAAATTGTAGATTTACACTGAAGGCATCAAAACTATAAATTAACACATGTGGAATTATATACATAACAAAAAGTT